TCCCTCCAAAAAACCGTGCTCCTAAAGATCTAAAGCGTCGCCGTCGGTTTTCCAGTGCCGGACAATGGCACAGCAGGTGTTCCATGGTTTCTTCTGTCGTTGGAAATCTTCCATCTAACGAAGTTTACCCCCGTGGGCCAGTTTCCTCATGTCTCTTGCTGCTTGGCTTCGATGGTAATTTCCATAGCTTCCTTCAGTGTGTTGATGGTCTCAGGTGGTGGGTCATCTGGCACAGCTTCTCCCCTGGTCCCTTTTTTAGTGAGTCTGTCCGCTTCCTGGTTGCCAACCACATCGCTGTGGCTGGCAGCCAGCACAGTGCTTCTGTGCTGAGTGGCCCCGCCTTGAAGCAGCTAGGCCAGGACAGTGCTTCTCGGCAGTCCATCACGGTTTTCCATCTCACTGACTGCATAGTAATGCTTCTTAGAGTGCCCAAGCTGTTAGAGTATATCGCGATATCTCATATTGGTCTATCAGCGATTTTCCCACGTACACAACTGTCCGCCGCTTCCTTATAATTCATTCCTCCGCGAAATAGCAGTATTTTGTGGTCATTTCATACCAATTCATCAATCACCGACTATTTAAATGCCCCATATTCTTTCCTTCGCTTGATGACGCGGCGAAAACAGTGACTACACGAAGAAGATGGTATAAAGAGCAGTCAAAATGACGTCTATATTAGGCTAGCCGAAGAAGGGAAATTGGATCGACCCTATAGCGGCTGCGGCGGAGTTTCTTTCAACTCCCACGCGCCGATAGATGTGGTTCATTAGCTTAGAGACTCCGTTCTCGTTATTTCGATATCCACGGGTGACCTCTTATCGGTCAAGACGAAGTAATCTTAAGAGCCGTACAAATCGAATGGGATACGTTTAATTTTTATTTTATAGCATTACTCGAGTTAAGGTGCAAAATTTCACCATACACATACAGGCCATCGACAGGTCTGAATCTGTTCTGTGTTCTAATCGTACGTTCCCATCTTTTGACAAGTTGAAAGTTTTGTACTATCAAGACGAGCGATTTAAGTAATAATACGATTTTTTTAAGCGATTTTGTTGATTTGTATAGGCAATTACCCTGTCTGGAAAATTAAAAGTAAAGTTTATTCAAATAGACAGGAAAAAACTAAAGCTTATGAAAAATTGTTGGAATTTTATAAAACTGTTGATACAAATGTTGATACAACTATTGATTCTGTAAAGAAAAGAATAAACAGTTTGCGAAGTGCTTTCCGGAAGAAACTTAAAAAGCGCGAAAATCAAAGCGTTTTTGTATTTTTCTTTGATATTAAGGGCTTAACCATCTTTAAAAGTTTATTAAAACATGTGTCATTCACTCTGAGGTAGTTTTTAAGGTCACCTGTTACTCTAGTTCTTAATTTTCGCACTTCGTAATATGAAATAATGTATCACGTTGTAACAACCAATCTTTCACCCAGACCTGATTTTTTGTGTCTGTAATTGGCTCTTGCAATAACAAAAGCACGAACAGTGTATTGTTTGTATTTTAAAACATTTTTCAAGTTCTCTCTAAAAACATTTTTCAACAACTTCAAGATCATTCGATTAAAACTGACGATATGTTTGTGTGTGTGGTGAACGCACAGTTTTCCTTCAGTTCCAAAACTGACAGTCCCAAAACTGAAGATGGCGTCGTTGGACGTAACTGCATTATGTGTGGCCTGTATTATTTCGTATATTTTTCATTTTATTGATTTTATGGAAAGCACTGTTCATTAAAATGTTATAGGGTCTTGTTTCCCTCTACAATTTCCTGTCTCACAATGTACCGTTTGTGTCCGGGAAGGGTTCATAGTTTCATAGTTGTCGATTTTCGAAAGAAATCAGTACATGTATATTATTTCGTATATTTTTCATTTTATTGATTTTATGGAAAGCACTGTTCATTAAAATGTTATATCCTATGTTATAGGGCTTGTTTCTCTCTACAATTTTCTGTCTTACAATGTACCGTTTGTGTCCAGGAAGGGTTCATAGTTTCATAGTTGTCGATTTTCGAAAGAAATCAGTACATGTATATTATTTCGTATATTTTTCATTTTATTAATTTTATGGAAAGCACTGTTCATTAAAATGTTGTATCCTATGTTATAGGGCTTATTTCTCTCTGCAATTTCCTGTCTCACAATGTACCAGAAGTAGGTATAGTACCATAGTTTCATAGTTGTCGATTTTCTAAAGAAATCAGTACATGTATATTATTTCGTATATTTTTCATTTTATTGATTTTATGGAAAGCACTGTTCAGTAAAATTGATCTTCAGTTCAGATCGTACAGTCCTAAAACTAGCGGCAAACTGATGAATTTCTTTCATCCTTTATTTCATTTAGTAGAACTTCATCAAAATCATATTCAGATTTATTCTATCTTTTATTACGGTGATTTTCACTGAACAAACCAGAAGGTATAATAGGTATAGTACATGATATACATATAGTTGGCAAGCAATTTTATTTACTATTTAGTATCACTTGATATCACACACCATCCTCCAACTCACGAACCACCACTGTCTTACTATAATTTATATTCCCATCCCTACATTTCTCTCTCTTCTCTACTTCTCTACATCTCTTTCGCTGTCTAGTACGTCGCAACTTAAAAAGTTTTAACCGGGATTCCACGTCTTCCGAAAAACTAGTTAGAAATATTGGAGCGACTGGGAAAATAAAGTTGAGCCGAATACCTTGATTTGCAGTCGTGTTTACGCCGATGCCGCCGTGCTCAGGAAATGTCGCCGAAACTTTGAAATGGCGCGGGATCGTTGTACGATTAACAGTTACAGGGAGAACCAGAAAAATATTTTCATAAAACAAATTAGAAGCTTTATCGTTTACGTTGTTATTATACGAACAGAAATAAGAAATAGCCATCTTATCTGATAGTCAAACGAAGTTCAAAATTCGAAGTTGGTCAAAAGATGCCTAGAAAAGCAAATTAGGCAAAGAAAATAGTCCTACTCTGGATCGATGCCAGCAATTTTTGTATAGAAGGTAATGAAAAAGCAAATGATCTAGCTAGAAAAGGAACGGACACTCCACTAACTGGACCAGAACCGTTCTGCTTTCCAAATGGAAACCAACTTAAACTGGAACTCAAGAACCTGGAATGGAAATCCTCTCCAACGGTCTAAGACACTCGAAGTAATATCCCTAACCTAACCTAACCTAACCATACAATCTACAATATGATAGATTGTCATAAATAGGTAAAAACTATCACTAAAAAAACAATTCTTGTTAAATTTAAAAATATCATAAATGAATTTACAAACAAGAAACCAGAAAATTAATGCATTGAATACAACAAAAGACACAATAATTTCAAATCTAAATGTGTAATATAATCATGCAACACAAAATGCTCAACTTAGTGATATACTCAGACATACATAAAACATTAATTCAATTTTTGATAGTACAAGACATTGTTATAATACATAAATAAACAACAATACATGGTCTTAAAAATCTTTAGCGGGTATTTCAATTAAATTGTGTGTCATATTTCTGGGATTTGTTAGTATCCAATATTTTAGTCGTTTTTTAAAGATACGGAAAGAGAGAAGTCTTAAGAAATTGAGGTATTATAGTTGCCTATACACATAAGGTGCTAGATACCAATAAGACCTCTGGACATGTGCTGTGGAGGTTTTTATAATTGTAGTTTACATATATCGTTTGCAACTAGTGTAATGTTAATGATCAATATAATTCAGAATTTGTTTATTTTTATATTGATGCCTAAATATTTTGTTAAGATAAATCTATTTTGTATCAGAAACGATATCATGTACAGGGTGCTACGAACTGTATTCCGGAAACTTCGGCAGCATATTCTACAGATAAAAATAAGTAAAAAAGTTCGTATAAATATATGTCCTAAAATGCTTAGTTTCGGAGATACAGGGTGTAGAAGTTTCATTTTTATTTCGATTTTTTCTAAATAATTTCTGAACTAACGTCAATATTTGGATGAAAATTGGTATCTGGGAGTTTTTTGACATGAGAAATTTGATTTTGATGTCAGTATGACTCCTATTATTAGGGGGCGCCACCTACATGTGTTTTAACTGTTTTGAAGAGTAATAACTATTCGTCCCTACCTGTATAAAACTAATAACTGAAAAAATATACATTTTCGTGACTTATTAAGTAACAAATGTCTCTTGGTAAAAATCGCTACGAGCAATCGTTCTCAAGATATTTTGAATGGAAGTAGTCAATACATGTCATTATTGACAAAAACCAAACACTTTGAGTTATTATGAAATAATAAATTTAGGAAATTATTATTTTTTTACTTAATCATAATTTGACCATCTAAAACAGGTTCTGTTGAAGTTTTGGCACAAAAACACGAAATCATATATTTCAATTATGATTTCAGTCTAATCCAAATCCGATTTTTTCAATCGATTCCAAATATCTCGAGAACCATTACTCGTACCGATTTTTACCAAGAGACTTTTTTACCTAAAAAACGTCGTAAATGTATATTTTTTACTTAGCAGTTTTATACAAGTAGGGACGAAAAGTTAAAACAGTTAAAACACATGTAGGTGGCGCTCCCTACGAATAGGAATCATATTGATATGAAAATTAAATTTCTCATATCAAAAAAACTCACAGACACCAATTTTCATCCAAATATTGATGTTACCTACTTCAAAAATTATTTGGAAAAAATCGAAATAAAAATGAAATTTCAACACCCTGTATCTCCGAAATTAATCATTTTAGGATATACTTTTTTACTTATTTTTATCTGCAGAATATGCTGCCAAAGTTTCCGGAATACAGTTCGGACCACCCTGTACATTATGTTACTAATCCAAACAACAAACAGTAAATAAATTTCGGAAACCATGTATTTGTAATTTTTCTGATGTTTTTTTCACAACTACCAATGCATCTTAACTACCCCTGTATAAGGGTTGTTTTTGATTTGAACCACGACCGCGAGTGCATACTCACTGCTGTATTTTTCCGGCTGGCGGCAGTTTCCCCTGTCCCTCCACGCTGATTTTCACGTGGGCAATGCCCTTTGTGCCAAATTCCCTCTGAAAAATAATATAATTGTTTTGAATCGAACGCTCGTTCGGGTCGTAGCGATAAGAAACGAATGAATATACTGGTTAAACTGGGTCGCGTAATGTATCGGTATTATTAATTTACTAGTTGTATTGTTGGAACCTTCATAATTTACCTTTTAATATGGAGTGGCCAGAATTAAAATGATTCAAGTCCAATTTCCTACTATTTTAAGATAATCGTTTTTATACATTTATAAAATATTGTTTTTTTCCAGTAGAGAAACGAATCAAGTCATACTTCACGCATTACGCAGCTATAGATTATTCCTGTTTGGTTTCTGAATATTCTGTTGATTCCTTTCAAAAGTCAACTGGATCAAGTCCATAAAATTTAACGCTGTGCGCGATTTTAACACACGTACTAAAGTTTAGAGCTAAAAAATATATTTTTTTGATAAAATGGATGACAATGAAACAAAGTCTGAACCATTTCACCAACTGAACAAGTGAATCAGATTGTCAGCCATCTGAAACAAACAAACAAACAACGCTTTATTGTGCAAAAAGCCAAAACAGCTTCATCGACAAAGCACTCACAAACAACAAAATCACAAAAAAATACAAACAACAAAAAATACACAATACAAATAATACAATTCAAAAAAATTTAAGTCTTTAAAATTACAAAAAGAATATACATGGACAATTTTAGAACAGTACGCAGTAAATAGATATAATTTTAAAGTTATAGAATATTAAATACTTAACCTTTGACCAGTGTGTGTGATGATCAAAATTTTAAAATTCAAAATTGTTCATAATCAAACATCAACAAAAAGTCGTTTACCGCATATAGGGCTCTCTCCAGTAGGTATGATTTTAGAGCCTTGCGAAATGCGGGAAAGAATGAAAGCGATTTGATATTCAAAGGCAGATGATTGTACATTTTTTTGGCATTGTACAGTATTGAACCCTTAACTAGTTCTGAGCTCGGGGTTGGCAGATAAAGATCGTGCTCTGCATTCCTAAGTGGATAGTTATGAGATGGCCTTTCGGGAATAGCAGATATGTGCTTGCGGATTAAGCAAACGGATTCAAAAATGAATAAAGAAGGAAGAGTCAGTATTTTCAAATTTTTAAAGAAATTCTGGCAGTGAGTTCTACTGTTCAGTCCCAATAAATATCGAACTGCTCTCTTTTGAAGTATGAAAACACGATCAAATTTTGTTGCGCAGCAAGTACCCCAGAATGGAAGGGCATAACGAAGATGTGACTCAAAAAGGGCATAATAGGCTATTCTAGAGGTTGAGAAGTTAAGTTCCTTAGAAACTGATCTTAGCGCAAAACAGGCAGCGCTTAGTTTCTTTGATAGAGCTTCAATGTGAGAGTCCCATTTTAACGAGTTGTCTACAAGAAGTCCTAAGAATTTCACAGAGTCCACGACGTCAATAGTAGTGTTATTAAGTACAAAAGGTTTATAGTACTTTTATATGACAAAACTTTAGTTTTTGATAGGTTGAGGCATAGGAGATTAGAATCGCACCAAGACTTAATGGTGCGTAAGTCATTGGATATAGTATCATATAGCGCCGCAACATCTGGGCCGCTCCAAGTGAAACTAGTATCGTCCGCAAAGAGGCAGATTTTACCGCTAATGTCCAGATTTGCAATGTCGTTGATAAACACCAGAAACAAAATAGGGCCAAGTACTGAACCCTGAGGGACACCACATTCTATAGGCTTACAAGAAGACATAGACGTATCAATCCTCACAAGCTGCCTTCTGTTGCCAAGATATGACTTACGCCATTCGAGCGGCACTCCCCTGAAACCATAGTATTGCAATTTGTTAATTAAGATATTATGATTTACACAATCGAAAGCCTTAGAGAAATCACAGAAAATTGTAGCTGTAGAGTGCTGGTTATTCAGGCTAGAGTATACATTATTAAAAAGGTCGAACATAGCATCATTTGTGCAACTGTTACTTAGAAATCCAAATTGATGGGTTGCGAAACCTTTTTTGAAAAAAACCCCTTTTTTTAACCAATCTTTCAATGATCTTAGATAATGTGGGCAGGAGTGCAATTGGGCGATAGTTCGAAGCTTCATCTTTATCACCTCCTTTATACAGAGGAATAATTATTGCTGTCTTAAGACAGTTTGGAAAAACTCCTTTTTGGAATGACTCGTTAATTAAAGTAGTAAGATGGTTTAATGTGCATTCAGGAAGTTCAGAGAACATTTTGAGAGTAAGCCCATCAGTCCCAGATGAGGATTTGTTTTTAATACTATTAATTGTACTACGGAGCTCATCTAATACTACGGGCGTGAGGAAGAAACTGTGCAAATTCTCATTTGCTTTAGGGAGATATGAAAGTGAATCATGGGAAGGAGTTATGGAAAGGTCTGATTCTATCTATTCAGAAGTATAGCTTGATTTATTATTATTCTCAACTATTACTACATCAATAAATTTCAAAAACAAATACTTAGATATCATGTTGTTGATCTGAATAAAACTGCACGAGGAAGAAAAATCTTATTTCATAGACGTAACGTAACACACTCTAAAAGAGAACACACGAAAGATCTTCTCCCTTTATCCCGCCTATATACCATAATTTTTTATAAAAATCGAAGAAAACACTATTAAAAGACAATGTGAAGTCAACAAATCCCTTAATGACGAAGAAGAATGTACGCGGATGAACCAATTTATATCTAAAATTTCAAATATTTTCAGAGATAAAACGGTTCAAGTCCAAAAAAGTATAAACAAACATTTTTAAAAATGACCACAGTTGTATTTTGAGTTATACTAGTTTGGAATTATACAATTTAAAATATAATAAAGCATTGTGTCAAGTTTTCTTCTCTCCAGCTTGTTTAATTTTAATTAAGTAACATTAAAAAACTTTAACTCTCATTTTCTCCATAATTGTCAACTAAAACAAAATCAAAATATCCCTTTTTTGTAAAGATTGCAATAATGACAAGCCTAAAAATATAACTTTATTGTATTAAGTGAAAACTTAAGTGAAAAAAGCCTTTAATAAAACTCTCCAAGACCAATTTATTATTATCAAAGAAGTACCCACTTTAAAAAGACAAAACTCAACCTTAATAGACATGGTACCATCGGACCAACAAAAGGTACTCGCGACCAGTTCCTTATCACTGTCCAGTCCACTATATATGTTACTAAAACGAATATATATTATCGACCAGACAGATTTCTTATAGTTGGTTGGCAGCTGCCGCTTGTATAGGAATAATAAAATGTATTCAAAGACTGGAGAAGCGCTTAGTTTGGTCAGTAGTATTTTTTTCTAATAGTGTCTGAAGAGATATCGATCAGAGAAGATATATATGAAAAGAAACTAAAATTAATGCATCTATTTTGAATAGTATATCCATGATTTTTTTATTGAAATTATTAATTATTCATACTCTAATTAAAAAATGTGTTTTCTTTTGGATACTTGAGACTTCTCTAAAGGTTTTGAATGAGATATTTGTTAGGGATTAAGCCTGAACCCTTTTTTAACAATTCGTTTCATTTAAATTATCTGGATCGCAAGCCATTGAGTTCCAGGAAGTCGATTGTCTGGAGGATTAGAAAAATTAAGTCCGCGCACAATTGAAGGGATTTGCAAGGGTTCGATTACAGTATGACTTTCACCCTTTTCGGTGATTCACAGATATTGAATTTCTCTTTTTTTCTGTCTGTTCGATTGATCATTTTTAGATATCCCTTTTTAGATTGACCATTAACCACTGCCCTATTGTCAATATTCGATATTATTTATTTATGAAATATTCCCTATAGAAAAAATCCGCTCAATCAAAAAAATTTTTTTTCGTCGGTACCATTATGAATTTTGAAAAGACCTCTTTACTTCTATAGACTACGGTACTACAAAGGAAAAAAAAACACTTGTATCTTTTCATATCGCCACATAATACGATCATCCTTTTTCGTATAACTTATGTTATTTTCTCAAGCACTTCAGTATCGAAGAATTTTAACAGCTTCAATATTAGGATGCGTCGATGTTCTGAAAGAAGCTCTCTGCCGTACCGAGCCTTTTATTAGACCGCTCTCACCAAAGGGTACTACGAAATCGTATAAAAGAAAACAGCAATTCCTATTCATTTATGCAAAACATATTTATTTTATTTTCTGCGTTGTTTGATTGGCGCCTTGTCGCAAAATCAATTTGTTCGTGCCAATATTCTTGTTTTTTTTGCGATAGAACGTTCAGATTTTAAAGATATACATAGAGAGTGGTATATAGTTTGTATACAGGGTAGTTAATGTTTTCCTTGATTCCAGTAAGAAGAATCTTCGGATTGCCCTGGGGTTTTTAAAAGGACACTGTCTCCTCATTAAACACCTCAGTAGATTGAAGCTGAGAAACAACGACGAATGCAGATTCTGTGAGACCAATAGGGAAACACCAGAACACCTCATCACAGAGTACGCCGAGATGACAACCATTCGTACCATATACTTTGGTATGACTGATATCGGAGATAGATAGATCACTTCTGTTAAAGCGTCTCATATACTGGCTTTTGTCAAAGTTCTGAGACTTTATGATGAGTTATAACACAATAGATCTATAAAGTCAAGGTTTTTGTAATATTAGATAGAGTGATGAGAGAAAGTACTAAGATAGGCATGGAAATAAATGTCAGCAAAACTAAACTTATGGTAGTCGACAGAGGTGAAATCCTCCCACGACCGAACCTCATAAATATAGAGAATATAGAGGAATTTCTATACCTGGGATTAAGTAAACCAAGGAGGATGTGAAAAGGAAATAAAAAGGCGAACGGCAATGTCACGAGGAGTCATGAGTAAGCTCACAAGAATATGGAAACATCGTCACATTACAAGAGATACGAAGATCATGTTAGTAAAACCCCTCATATTCTCAATCTTCCTGTACGGAGCGGAATCCTGGACGATGAGAAAACATCAGATGAAACATAGATACATTTGAAATGTGGTGCTGGCG